AAAACGGAACTACACTGTGCATTGACATTATTCAACAAGATAATTGTACAAGGAAAGGCGAGAACGACACCACGGAACACGACTAGGCACGGGCTTGGTACACGACGAGCTGGCGGCAGATGGGGCACGACTGGTGCAGCTCAAGCCACGAAAAGACGCAGCGTTCGTGGAACGCGTGCTTGCACGGCAAGGTGACGCTCGTCGCTGCCTCGTCGTTCTCGTCCTCGGACGCGAATTCGCAGAGGCAAATCGCGCATCCTTCGTCGTCGCCGCTGTCATCGCTATCGTCTTCGACCGCGAGCTCGGTGCCGGCGCGCGACACGCGGGGCAGTGGCGACAAACAACGGGCTTCGTGGGTCTGACGGTGCTTGGGAACTTCAAGGAACGCATTGACGAGCTCAAAGATCGCGGTTGTCGCATCTTGGGCGCGCAAGTGCCAGCGGAGGGCGACGAGGACCTCGGTGAAGCGTGCGAGGCCGACGCGGCGCTCGGCGCGGATGGCGTCCGTGTCAATGCGCAAGTGCTTCTTTGGAAACGGCGTCGTCAAGAAGGTTTGCACGATTGGCGCCGCCTGCTTCTTGTGCTTGGCCGACGTCGCCCAGAGCGACGGCGCGAGCGCTTTGCGCAGCGGCTTGTAGAGGCGGTGGAACTCCGAGTAGCGCTTTTGGAGCATCCACTTTGTGCTACCCCACGTAATGTGCACCGAGTACGTTGTGAAGGGCTCGGAAAAGGTGAATTCGTTGTAGCAGCCGCAGACGCTGGCGCTCGTGATGGCGACTTGGATGCTGTAGTTGTCGTCGTGCAGCATGAGGTAGTACGACGAGGAGGCAGGTAGGCAAGGAGGTAGAAGGAAAATGACAGCCCAGTCTTCGATCTGCAAAACGCGTGATTTCGCCGGAGTGACAGGGCGCGAAAGATTCGGACACCATCGTGTTTGAATCTCCCGCGATCTTTCGCTGACGTAAAAAAGCCAATCAGAGCGCGCAGCAGTTGACGCACTCGCAAAGCCATGTGCCCGCACCATAGATCAGACGCCGACAGTTGAAGTTGCAACGCTTTGGATGCCATTTTGGTCGTTCATTCTGGCAGTCGTACTTGTCGCCGCACGCATTCAGATCGACAATGCTGACCGATGCGATGCCATTGCTGCTTCATGGACGAGCCGAAGTCGACCACTGATAACGTGGGGCAGACTAATACACCGTGTACGGTCCACAACTGGAGGCGTACCACATCCAGCAACAATTCAAAAGAGCGTGTATCCACATCTAGTGCGCACTGAACGCAAGCAAATGACCCTTTGTTCCAGATCTTCCCAATGGCATTTTGGAGTACGAGGGAATCTCCAGAGACGCTCACGCCATGTGGCAAAGACATGGTTCGCCAAGCCGTTCCAAGGAGTCGTTCTTGGTGCAGCTCCATCGTACCGGTATAGATATGCTACAAAATCTCAACTTCTACAGGTGGGTGCCTTGACTTGTGAGCACGAAGGCTCGACCTACCACGACTGAACCGAAGAATGCAGGTGACGTCCTGTGTATGTGTTTGCATAGCCGCCATCCTAGCTGGACTACGTACCGGTACCCGCCTCCTGGTGCAGCAATACGGTATGGCTTGTGCCACTGGGCTTGTGCTGATATCGACGCGACCGAAGATCACGGCCTGGTCTGGTCGTGTGAGTCATTCCGGGTGGCTGATTCTTAGCAATCTTGACGGGTTCTTTACGCACGTTATAGACAATGCAGATGTTGACATTAAAGCGCTAGATTGACATTTTGAAAAAAGCATTAGAAAATAATTGAGCGGAACCAGTATCCGTAATCCGGATACGATACCACATCTGGGTGTAACGCTTGACAGGGGAACGCCACCACAATCACACAGATCAGACGGCAAGTTGAGCAAACTCATGCGTTGTCGTCCTCACCCGCACCGACAGCATGTCCTGCAACGCGAGAACTTCCATTTTGTGCATGTTGCTCGCCGTTTTCGGCCATTTCGCAAGCACGAGCTCGGCGCTTCGTTGCAGCGTGAACATGAGTACTCATTTTTTGCGCTTGGCCGCCCATTCGTCTGAACTGTTTCCAAGTGAGGTGCCTACGTGTACTTTTAGCTCGTTGCGTGCGAGGCCACGTTGATCGAAGAGTGTTCTGCAGTAGCGAAATACCAATGACAAAGACATGGTGTTGCTTTGACATGTATTACCCAGCGCACGCATTGCAGCGACGCATGCTTGATGGCAAACCAACGACTCTGTTCTGAGTTGCTACCGGTGTCTGTTTTCTCGCTGTTGGTGCATCCGCTTGCCGTCAATTTGATATGCCTCCCATCCCACTTCACAACGTATCACATTCGTAGAAGGCGTACCTCACACCTCATGGGAGGCTCGCACCTGCTAGACCCAGCTGCCGTAGTATTCTCGTCTCGAGTAGCACGCCAGACTAACTCTGATCGGCGGAACTGGCTCGCTTCGTGCCCGAGCCATCTCTCGTCGCTCTTCAACGCCCAGGGGATGCTGCGTTGTTGGTGGTGACGGTGCGTGGTTTCTTGCACGGCTTGTCGCGGATGTCCTTGCAAACCTTTGTACGCCAGTTGTCGTTGCCATTCCGTTGCGGGAGACTATGCGTCAAGCAATGGCGAGGAGGCCCCTTTCCTCAGGTTCAACGATCCGCAGACCAGATGGCGACCCTCCGCAACCAAAAACGAGAAAAAGAACCCGACAGTATTTTCGTATACGGTATACTCTGGCTCAGTATAGGGCACCCTCGCAGCGCAACGTCGCAGCATTCTTTCTTTTGCACCGCAATGGCCGCATCCGCCCACCTCCTTCCGCAGACAACCCTCGACCGCACTCGCTTTGACGAGGCGGTGCGCGCGCTCAAGGTCTTTCCCAGCGCGATGAACGTTGTCTCGCCGGCCAGCGGCCCCTTTGTCATCTACACGTTCATCGTCTCGTGCCCGACGACCCAGACGTGGTGGGTCGTCACGAAGCGGTACTCGGAATTTCTCGCGTTTCGCCGAACGCTCGCAGCGCTTGCCAAGCGTGCGTGCGACGATGTCCGCATCGTTCTGCGTGCGGTGCACACGCCGACATTTCCGAAGAAACACCCGCTGACACCGATCCACAACGCCGGCAAGATCCTCGAACGCTTAACGCTCTTCAAGCAGTACACGGCGATGCTTGTGTCCTTGCGCGAGGCCTGTGTGTTGCGCGCACTGCAGCTGGCGCCGTCGGCCGCAAAAGACAGCCTTCTCGAGCTCTACGACCTCGTGCAAGACTTCCTGAGCATCCCCGACGCGCTGCGCCGCGACGAGCTCCGTCGCACGATTGCCCTCGTGTCCCCCGAATCGTCGTCGGTAACGGAGGAGGACACGGAATGTGGCTGTGAAGAGGCATGTGCAATCTGCCTCTGCGACTACGAGCATGGCGAAACGAAGCTCCAAATGCCGTGTAAGCACGTCTTCCACCAAGAGTGCGTAGTCCGGTGGCTCGAAAAGTCCGCGACCTGCCCCTTGTGCCGCCAAGACGCGACGCAGGGGTACCTGTTCTAAGCGGCCTTTCGTCGTCTTGATTCTATTCGTCCTATTTACTAAGCTGTTAATTATACTGATTGGAAGACGTCATTCGGCGCGTAAGCAGGATGGCGTGATGGTCGATGCGTTGACAAAGGATGCGTTGATGTCTTCTTGCCTCGGACTGTCGTGCATGTTGTAAAAGTGGATAATGCTTGATGGCACATCACATGGCGTTGCCGAAGGAGCTGGAAAGCAAGACGATTGCTTGTTCCTGCGCAGCCATTCGCACCCTTTGGAGCGATGCGTATGAGTGAAGGTTGCCGCTTGGTTGTTTTGACGCGGCCAGAGGTGCCATACGCGTTAGCTCGTCAATTGTGTGCAAGAAGACACGTGCACAGAGATGGTTCCAGATTGGTGCGCCACAAGAAACGCCTTCGCCCGCCGTAAAGTGATCCCGTCCACATGAGGTCAGATCAGAACCCAGCTGCCTGCAACGTCAAGGGCCAATGGCCAATTGCATCCATCAAGTAGCAAAATGGCGGCGCCTCATTGGCGCCTGCGGTCGCCACCCAGAAATTTCTGGTTCACAGGCCGCTTCCCTTCAAATCGTCTGGTGCATGTGGTCCTTTGGCAATTTTGGCAACCAAAAAAAAGAAGCAAACTGCGTTTCAGTATGCCAATACAAACGACGAGATACAAACACAGCATGTCGCAACCGAAGTCGACGCATTTGATTGGCGCATTCCGCTAGTGTAGCGATCGGTACCCGTAACGTCCGGTCCACATCGCCGTTTGATTGGCTACCGTAGAATTCGGCTGCATAGCGCAGCTGCCTTGGACGATGTGGCAGAGGGCCTCGGCGCCGTTGATTCCGTCATTTTTCAATTTGCCTTCGACTGCAGACGCCAGCGACACCCGGAGCTTCGCTTCCACCACCAACCTTACAACCCCCCAACGCCGCATGGACCACTCTGCCCGACATGACAATTACGTCTCTCTACCACGATATCGCTGCCCATGAGCACGACGCCTCGATCGAGCGCCTCAAGACGGCGCACGAACACGATATGAACAAGTCAAGGTGCACTCGAGCGCCATGAACGTTGCCTTCCACGGCAGCGGCCCCTTTACCATCTACACGATGATCGTCACGTGCCCCGGCACCAAGACGTGGTGGGTCCTCAAGAAGCGCTACTCGCAGTTCTTCTCGGTCCGCAAGCAGCTACTCCGCCACTTGAAGGC